CACACAGACAACCCCGTGACAATATGCGTTTTGTAACGCTGTTACACAGCACAAAACGCATAATGAGCGCACACTGTGATCCGTGGGCGCACTCTCCGATATTTAGCTGAACAATTAACGAAAGCACTCACTTTGTACTCCTGCTGCAACGCATCCAACAGCAACGTATTGGTCAAGTAATTACGAAACGTAAACGCAATATGTTCAAGTTTGGGCACTTCCCGTAGCACTGCGTCCTTATCTGCCCCTGTAACCGAATTTTTCTTTTCTCCCAGCCGTGCTTCCCACTTTGGCTTTTTAGCGATCATATCCTGAAAATAATCCACCTCAATCCACTCTTTCTGCTTTCCTCCACGTGCATGGTGATGATGAACTGCAGGATCGACATGAGAAATGGGATACAGCTCCACGCATGACACCGTGCCAAATTTCCTCCAGCCAAGCCCGGCCAGTACCGACCACCAGCAGCCCGACCAGCAAACAGTAAACGTCACTTAGCTATACAACGGACGCAAAAAAAAAAGAGCAACGCTCACTGGAATATGCAGCAGAGGACATTTCTCCAACATACCACTCCAAGATTTATCAAGCATTTTAAGCTTTGAAGACGACACAGGCTTCTACAGAAATCACCAAACCGCAGGAACAATTGAAATGGGGCACTGGGCGTTCATGAGTCATAATCGCTCACCCGAGCTATCGGTGCAGAACCGTCGACGTTACTGGGATACGATCAGCCGAATGGTAGCGAAATGAGGCGATGCGTCTTCGACATTATAAAATTATCCAAAACTAACAATTCCAAGTTCGTGGAAATCGTCAATGATGAGCCGGAACAGAGAAGCAACCTGGGCGCCACTTCTCCACTTCGCCATATCGCCCCTCAATCGCTCTGGAACACAAACAAGCATAGAAAACGCATGGAAGCAAAGGCGCAACATGAGAATGCTCGACGAGGCCAGGGATGGGAAACGCAAAGCTGGAAGAAGGCCAAGAGAGGTTCGCAACATTTCCTGGGAAGCAAAGACCGAGCAACGAAGCTCTGCCAGCACTGCGCAGCCCATGCTGGCTGCAGCAACCAGAGCAGCTTCGCAAGTGCGCTGCATTCGATGTGCAAGTTCACGCACAGCGAATCAGTGAGGGGGGAGGTGTGTGTCGACAAATCCCTGCTCAACGCCAACAAACAAAATCGCCCTGCACGTGCTCATTATCCAACATCCCACTCCGACAATGAACCAACGCACCGACCAAACTTGAACAGCTCCGCAGCCAACGACGCCGCCGCCATCGCCGCCGCCCGC